ATTAAGGAACTCATTAAAGAGAAAATATATTTATATTCATCAAATGGGGGTGGATCATCATAGAGGTCTTCATTCTTGTCTTCAAGTGGAGTAGGCCAAAGAGAAGGAGGAAGAAGGATTGGTCTCACTGTCCCAGGGATGGCAGAGGTAAAAGAAAACCTGCATGTAAGTGGACCATTGCAGCTCAAACCTCTGTTGTTAAAGGGCCCACTGTGCATCCCATCCTCGCCTCAAACTGAAGGCTCAGCTTTGTTCTAATGCTACTGTCTCTAAGATATTCCCCTACATATTCACATCACCACTCCACTGCAGTGCACTGCTAAGATGCCTACACCCTGTCTCTGGGGGCTATGTCACCGAGTCCTCCTAGTTAAGGAGTTTACCAGTGACCAAAGTCCTGGCCCCAGGATGCTCTCATGGGTACTAGTGACTTCCAGCGTCCCCTCTTGGGCATAGTGTGAGGTCTAGAGATCCATTCTGCCTAACAGTGGCTGTCAGATAAGGTCTGTTTGGCAGATGCCTGCAGAGCCAGGTGCCTGCCGACAGAAGTCCTCTGGCTTCCATTCTACCCTTCCCACTGTGAGGAGTCGGTGGTGGTGTTCAACTGACCACAAGGAATGAGGCAGAAAAGTCCCCTAAGTCTACTGCACCTCTGGGGCATGGCTGGGTGGAATGCGTCACAGGTGTTTGGGGAGGAGGGGAGGTGGACACCCTGATCCTACCCAAGGCCAAGGGTGGGTGAAAAACTGTAGCATGAATGGCAGCTGGGGAAGCACAGAGCCCAGGGTCTACCCTGACTTCAGGGGGCCTCAGCCAGTCAGACTTTGAACAACACTGGTTACACTGGGGTCTCAATTTCCATGGCCCACTGCCATGACTAACAAGGCCCATCAGTCAGGATGAACCAGATCTGACACAGGAACAATAGCCCACCAATCTCAGGGCTCTGCCCAATCACAGTCACTTAGCACTGAGGCATCTCAGTACTTCTCTATGTGTGGGCTGGTTGGGCTTCCTTAAAGCATGGTGGCCATGCCCAACCAGGGCAGTCAGACTGCTTCCATGGTGGCCCAGGAGTATTCCAGAGAGCCAGTGGGAAGCTGTCACCTTTTATGACCTGGCCTTGAAAGTTATATAGCATCACTCTACTGTAACTACAGTGGACAGGTCACTAAGGCAGGCCCAGAATCAAGGGAACCAACATTGATTCCACTTCTCGGTGGGTAGAGCTATAAAGCCACCTTATAGGAGCATCATGTTATGTATGAGCTAATGTCTGTAAAGTGCTGACAACTATTCCTCACAGTAATACATTTTATACACATGTTTCTTAAAGAAAGCATACTGCTCATGGGTTGGAAAATCATGTCTCAATAAGCCAGCTCTCTGTTTGATATCCAGAACATTCCTACATCCCCCAGTGGGGGAAGTACCAAATCCTGTTGCTCTTTCACTGCCATGCAAGCTCCTGGCCATAGGAACTTGAGTCAGAATCCTTCTCACACCTTCCAGAGGTTCAGAGAATCCAGAGAGGATTGGATCTCTACCCTCCCAAGCAGAGGGAACAAACAGTGGGCTTCAGCAGCCTGACTCGGGAGCAAAATCCAGGATGATTCTACCTGGGCCATGTAACACTGGGGCTCATGGCTGTGACACTCAGAGTAAAAACAAGGCCAGTGTGGGCTAAGGCTCTCACCCTCCAGGGTCACCACCTGGAGACCCTCAGATGGCTCCAAACCTGGCCTTTCCACAGACAGATCCCTGAAGTGGAACCTGGGCTTCAGAATTCTGAAACCTCCCGAGTGATTTCAAGACACACTGAAGCCTGAAAGCAACTGAAGGGTGATCTTTCCGATGTTCCTGTGCTTATGAGTCGCTTGGGGACCCTGTTAAGATACAGACTCTGACTCAACGGGGCAGGTTGAAATTCTGCATTGCTGGCAAGCTCCTGGCAATGTCAATGCCTGTGGTCTGTGGACCATGTTTTAAGTAGCAGAAAAATAGCGCGCATTTTTCAGTCTTGTCTGGTGTTTTTAACCCTATGCTTCCCACTGATTAACATACAAATCCCATGCCTTCTTTTAATGTTATTTGAAAACTGCACAGTAAATTAAATATTGCAACTAAAACCAAGTGTCAATTTGAGGGGACGAAATTCTGCAATATTCTCACAACTGACTGCTGGGCCTTCTCATCCCACCAACACCCACAATCTGGGAAAACACCCTGGTGAAAAACAACCAGGGGCAGCACCCAGAGACCAAGGTTTCCACTGGCTCCTTCACCCAGCAACTAAAGGACCCACCACCCACCCCCTACTGGGGTCTTGCTTTACCCATTAACAAGCAAGATAATATCAGGTGGCCTCAAAATGTCTTTCCAACGTCACTAGGGCCTTTTGATCTTCAATCGTCTGTTAATCTTTTCCATCCCCGGGATCCTCAGCCTCCTCCGTGACTTCCAGGAAAGAAGCAGGCCTCCAACAGCATTTTCTACCATGGGCACTTGTGCCGAGGGACTTTCCTGACAAGGACATGAACAGGCACATCAGGGTTGGGGACCACACCATAGATGCTGGCAGGAACAAGGCCTAAGGCCAGAGGTTGAGGAAACTGTCTATAAGGGCTGGATGGTCTCTCAGGCTCTGCTGCCGTGAGCTCCCGCTCACAGCTATTCAGCTCCACCCTGAAGCACAAACAGCCACAGATGGTACGTGAACAAAGGGTGTGACTGTGTTCCAGTAAAACTCACTTCGCAAAAGCCAGTGTTGCACGGACAGGCTGTAGTTACCAGAGAGCAGTGCTTCTCAAACTTTAACGGCACAGAGATCACTCGGGATCTTGTTTAAAATGCAGATTCTGAGAGCGTGGATTTGTGTGCCGCACTGTCCAACAGAAATATAATGAGGCCAGGCAAGGTGGCTTATGCCTGTATTCCCAACACTTTGGGCATCTAAAGCAGGAGGATCGTGTGAGCCCAGGAGTTCAAGACCACTTGAGGCAATATAGTGAGACACTGTCTCTACAAAAAAGTACAAATTAAATTTAAAAATTTGCCAAGGTGGTGGATCACTTGAGGTCAGGAGTTCAAGACCAACCTGGCCAACATGATGAAACCATCTCTCTACTAAAATACGAAAATTAGCCAGGCATGATGGCAGGTGCCTGTAATCCCAGCTACTCGGGAGGCTGAGATGGGAGAATTGCTTGAGCTAGGGAGGTGGAGGTTGTAGTGAGCCGAGATCACACCACTGTACTCCAGCATGAGCAGCTGAATGAGAATCCATCTCAAAAAAAAAAAAAATTAACTGGTACCACAGCCCTGAAGTCCCAGCTACTCGGGAGGCTGAGGTGGGAGGATCACTGGAGCCCGGGAGATCAAAGCTGCCATGAGCTAAGATGGGAAGATGCTGGAGCCCAAGAGGTCAAGGCTGCAGTGAGCTAAGTTTGCACCATTGCACTCCAGCCCGGTGACAGAACAAGACCCTGTCTCAAAAAAGAAAGAAATGTAATGGAAGTCACATATGAAGTTTAAAATTTCCCAGTGCAGACTTTCAGTTTTTAAAAAGTGAAGTTAATATTAATAAGAGATTTTATTTAACTAAATCATACCCAAAATCGTATGATTTCATCATGCGGCACTAACCACATTTCAAGCACTCAGCAGCCACGTGTGGCCAGTGGCCATAGTCATGGGTGCACAGGAGCAGGCCTGAGAGGCTGCATTTCAAACAAGCTCCCAGGTGACAAGAATGCTGCCAGCCCAGGGGCCTTACTTTATAGCAAGGGCCCAGAGAATGCTAACTTCTACCTGGACTGGTGAGACAGTTGCGCAGCTTCTACAGAATTTTCTGCAGGACATTTGGCAAACTGAGTATGTATCCTAAGATAGGAATGCCTGAAGTCACATCTTAGGGCGCAGTCAACTCATTGAGACCATCCTTGTGTGTGATTATCAAGTAACGTTTCTCAAACCTGCTCCCCTGGTGTTTTACACAAAACCCAGTAAATGGAGGCCCTGTCTCCTCCATATCACATAAAGGAAATGACATGCGTGGATACAAAATGACAGGACACGTGTGTGCTGGCACCATCCCACGGCCTTTACATGGGCATCTCCAAGAAGTTCACAGTTCTGTGAGCGAGGCTTGGGAATTCCCATTTCATGGAGGAGGAACCAACGTCCAGTCTTAAGAAGCTGCAGCTGGAAATGGACAACCCTGTGCCTGTCCATCCATTTCCAAAGGCAAGGCTCATAACCCAAGGAGGCAGCAAACAAGTTGCTGCCAGGCATGACTCACAGGCATTTCTATTTCAACATTTTTATAGAGCATCTCCAGCTTATCACACTTGGGATAGGTCAAAATTGCTTACATAGAGCTGAGGATTATTTTAAGAATCTGTTTACATTTTATTTATTTATTTTTTAAGCCAAGAACTTCCAGTTTTTATTTTTATAACATTACTTAACAAGAAAAACATTAACCCATATTTTTTAAAATTAGGTTTGATTAATTTACAATATATTAACCAGCTGAAAATATCAGCCCTTTTATTTTAAGCCAAGGATGCTACTGAAACAGCAGAATTGCACCATTGATATTTTTACCTATATTTGATGGCACAGATACATAAAAGTCATCTGACTTCCCTGACACCCTCTCTTTCCTCAAAAGTAGCATTCAGATAATTTTATCTCAGGTCAGTTGCAAGTTATGTTTAAGAAATTGTTAAGTGGGCTTGGAGGGGTTGGTGGCCCATGCCTGTAATCCCAGCACTTTGGGAGGCCTGGTGGGGGGGTTGGGTGGGGAGGAATTGCCTTGAGCCCAGGAGGTCAAGGCTTCAGTGAGCTATGATTGTCCCACTGTACTGCAGCCTGGGCACCAGTGTGACACTCTGTCTATAAAAGGGAAAGGGAAGGGGCAGGGGCAGGGGCAGGGAGGGGAAGAAAGGAGAGAGAGAGAAAAGAGAAAGGGAAGGAGGGAGGGAAGAAGGAAGAAAGAAGGGAGGGAGGGAGGGGAGAGAGGAAAGAGAGAAAAAGAGGAGGGAGGGAGAGAGGGAGAGGAGAGAGAGGAGGGAAGGAAGGAGGAGAAGAGGGAGGGAGGGAGAGAGGAAAGAGGGAAAGAGATGAAGGAGGGAGGGAAGGAAGGCAGAAAGGAAGGGAGTTAAGCAGTATAACCCTGTAGCAACATTTGTAGGAGAAAGAAAAATCTTCTGTGAGAGGCTGGTGTCCCCAGCAATTGGCCAGGCCTGCTGAGAATCACAGGAGTAAGTGCTTTGGTCACGCGGCCCCATTCTGTCGCGGAGCTCCGGATTTCCACAGCCGATTGTCTGCTGGACGTTCCTCCCTGACACGTCTCACAGGTAACCCCTTCCAAAGTCCATTTTAGGTCCCCCCTCCCGCTGCGCCCGGCCTCCTCCTGCTCTCTGGCCTCCGGAATGGTCCCCTCCCAGCCAGTTTCTGACACCAGCCGCTGTCCTGGGCCTCACCCGGCCTTCCCATCCCGACCCAAACGCGTCCTCTCGCCCTGGCCCCGGCAGGCCCTGCCCACACCCGCCCTGCCTGGGCGCCTGCTCCACTGCCGCCCGCAGCCCATGTCCCTCACGGCTGGACCCTGAGTCTGTCACAGGTCCGCGGCGCCCAGGATGGGCCAAGCACCCCCCGCCCCTCCCCAGGGTGCTGACCTCGCTTCCGCCCGCCCGTCGGGCTAGGCCCGCCCCATCCCCATCCTGCGGCGCCCCTTGGTCCTCCTTCCTGGCCCCTGGCCCCCACTTTACAACCGCCCCTGATTTGTAGCCCCCAGTGACTAACGCAGCCCCCACCTGCTGGCCTGCGCTGACTGTGCGGGGGGTCCCCGCGGCCAACCTCGCCCCGGAAGTGCAGGGAGCACGCGGCATATGGTCGGGGAACAATTCCAAAGCCGTTGCAGCGAGAGGGGGACATCCAATCCTGTCCACCGGCCCCCAAAGGCCGCGGTCCTGCCTGGAGAGCCGAGCTGTGCTAGGCAAGCTTCCGTGGTAAAGAAAAATGACCGGCCAAAGCTGCTGGCCTGGGCGAGGCCTGCGGGGTCGCGTCCAGGGCCACGGGAGTGAGGGGGGCGTGTGCAGGCCCTGGAGCCCCTCAGAAGAGGCCTGTCCCGAGGCGCCTCGGCTCTGCCCAGCTCTGCCCACGCCCCTCCCCCAACTACACGGCAAGCCCTGGGCTTCTATCCTTCCTCTCCTTCCCCCACACCGGCCCAAATAGCCCTCAGGGCTCTGCTGAGGTGTCCCTGAGGTTCTGGCCGGGGCTGTGGCGTCCGCAGGAGCAGGCCTTGGTGCGCGTGCGCAAGGCTGATACTGATGAAGAGGCTCCAGAGGATACTAGGGACGGTGGGTCAGAGCAGGGCCCAGAGGGTAGGGGCAGGCAGGTCACAATTTCTGGCCTGTTCCGAGGCGGGGCAGGTGGAACCTGACCCCTGGGGGAACTCGGAGCCTAATGATTCCCTTCCGTCTGCCTGCCTTTTGTAAGTCGGGGCTTTACTCCCACTCTGGTCCTGGTGGCCCAAGGTGTGAGGAGGGGAAGACCGAGGTAGAGATCAAAACCCCTGGGTCCTTCCCGCCTCCAGCAAAACTGCTCCATGAGCCCACGGGCAGCCCAAGGGCAGCTCAAGGGCAGGCCACGGGAGCCACAGGTCGTGGCCATGCAGCAAAAGCATACAGAAGCCAGAGCCGAGCAGACACAGCAAGGGGACAGAAGGGCCTGGTGGAGCACCAACGCCAGGGCTCTCTCAGGGCCCGCAACACGGTGTCCTGCGTGGACTCAGTTAAATAACGAAGGGGTATCTGACTCACACGGGCTTTTCCCTGCAGTCCCTGCCCTTGGTGGCGCCCGGCCCTCCTGTGCCCTCCTCTTGGCCTCACTCAGACCCCAGGAACCATCATGCACTCAGCATCCCCAGGCAGCTCCAGCACCAAAGCCCCTCATCCCACAGCCTCCGACACCTCGCTCAGAGTGAGCTCAGCTTTCTTATCTTCAAATGTGTCTTCATCTCAGCGAAGGAATAAAAAACTCTTCTCTTGGCCATCCACGGAAATGCAACTGTCGCTAAAAGGAGGAGAAAATGTGGTGGGTGTGAGTGTGGGTGTGCCCAAGTGGCCCCTGGCCATGCTCTTTCCCTCAGTGGGGGGACAGAGGCTGGTTGGAAGAGCACCTCCTTCCCAAGGCTCGAGGACAGGGCCGTCCCTGACACCAGCGCCCAGGCTGGGCTTCTGCACCCTCAGCTTCAAGTAGCCTCGGACCACTGCGGCCGCTGTCGAGGGTTAGCCATTGAGTTTTTCCTGCACTTTGGGGCTCCTTCGCCATCTGCAGCTCGACTAGGGTTGCCAGGGAGGCTTCTATGAAGTGAGCTGAAGGGGCTGAGAACTCTTCCTCTCTCGGGAACACAGCTCCACCACGTTTATAAGTGAAAATTGGCTGTGGTGGGGATCCTTCTGCCATTCCCCAATACCCCAGGATTGATGAGAGGCATTCAGAACTGCAAGAGGCGTGAGGGGGCTGCCGTGTCCTTGCCTGGGTGGCCTCCTAGGCTCAAATTGCTGCCCGAGAACAGGTGGCAGAACATTTCTGAATATTTAACCCTTGTCTCCCAAGAGTGCAGAGACGATAGTTCTGTGACTAAGGAAAAGATCCCATGTCGCTCACACCTCACTTAGGACAACTCGTGTTTTACAGAAACTTAGTAATGTTAAAGAATGATTTGTGGTTTCTTTGCTCAAATACAGGAAACTGACTTATCTCAAAAATGAACTCTCCCTACCGATTTGCACAGTGAGATTATTTCAGCAAACAAGAAAGTGATGGTTGCCCATCACACCACGCTGCCTGTGACTCAGACATCTCTCACAGGCAAAGAAGGGTGTTCTCCTCGCCCTCTCAGTTACTAATTCTCTGAAAATGACCATTTGATGGGCTGGCTGGTGAGGATTCAGTTCAGGGATGACTTCTCTGCTGCCACAAAGTATGGTTCTGGGAAGGACAGCCAGCCCCAAGGCCATGAAGGTTTGGGAAAAGTGTCTTCTCATTTGAAGTACAGTATTTCCTTGGCCCCATTTTTCTATTAAAACAATTCTTTTTCCTTGGAGATTGCTGAAGCTCAACTCCGGGGCCAGCCTCAGCTCCAGCAGAACTGGGAGTGTCTCTTGTTTCTACATAGCTCCCTTCCCTCCTGCTTTCCTACTGTGTAAGGAGAAACAGCATGTCATTTCATTTCTTCCTTTTCTCCCCACTTGCCACTGCATTCTCTGTCTGGGCCTGTGTCTCTCCTTGCAGAGGCTGTGGACAGGGACACTGAGAGCCACTTCCTGGAGCATGCTCCCCACCCCCGCAGCCTGTGGCTTCAGCCTCTGCTTCTGCAGGCAGCAGTAGAGGAAGTCAGAACTGTCCCTTCTGACCTGAACAGCTACCTCCTAGTCCTCCCTATCGCCACAGAGACTCAGCAGTGCAAGTGAGTCCTGTTTGACCTCGTAAACCATCGCAGACTGTAAAGGTGACTCTGATGCTCAGGAAATGGGCATGCCCAGAGTAGGCCCCAGACTTCCCGCAGGCCCAGGTCCTCCTACCAGGCAAAGGTCCGGCTGCAGTGGTGCTGCACTGGTGTTGTGAGATGCCTGTGTCAGAAGACACTGAGTTTCCCACTCACCTCCCATCAAGCCAGCGACCACAGGAGAAAGAGCAGGGCACATGTGCACCAGCATGCTGAAGGGAGGGCAAAACCCATGCTCAAAAACCACAGGCCCTGTTCTAGGAGCAGGAGATATATTTAGCCAAGCAGGATGTTTGTGGGTAAACCAACAATTTGCTGTAAATAAAATTTTGCAAACTCGGGACTTTAACTGAGGATTGCTGAAGCGTACTTTGCCTGCATGTTGGCAAGAGAGCTATTTTCCCAACACAAGCTCACCATGACCCCCATTCAGAGATGCCTTTGACGCTGAGGGTGTGGGTGCCTTTTCCCTAAAAGGTGCTATCAGGGGATTGAGTAGGAGCCTGAAGAGCTAGGGGTATCTTCTCCCTGCATGGACCAGCAGGCAGACCCTGTCCCTTCACACTGCAGTGGCATGTGATGGGCCCCACTGCCCACCTGATTCTGCTGTCCAGGCTGAAGTCCTCGTGTGACACTCTAAACTGTTCTGGCAAGGAAGGGTCACAGGTTCTGACCCAGACTCTGAAACTGACCAGCAATGATCAGCTCTGCCTGGACTTCAGCCATCATTGTGTACATAATGCGCATAGGGTGCTTCTCTCCATTCCCAGGTTTGCCTCTCTCCAACTTTTGCTGAAGCAGGTTTCTACTCCATTAGTCCCACATATGTGTGCGCAGGGCTGGTACTGACTGTGGTGCTGGGGAAGACATGTGCTTGGAGGCAGCCCTATGAGATGGCACAGCCTGGGGAGGAGCCGCGATGGGGAGGAGCCATGATGGGGAGGACACTGGCCACACATGATAGAGGAAGCATGGCCACACAGTCTTTGCTGTCCCTGCTGCAGCGTGGTTGTGTAAGTCTCCTCCTTCTGAGTATGTGCGAACTTATGTGACCAATTAGACCCAACAGAAATGCAACATATGTGATGCGTGAAAGTTCCAGACCGGGCCACAGAGAGCTCCATGGCTTTGGCTGTATTTCCTGGAGCACTTGCTCCCAGGACACCCTGTCAGAGCCCAGGCACCATGTCCTGAGAGAACCCCAGCCACAGAGACAAGCCAGGTATAGGTGCTTTCATCAAAGCTCCACCTGTGCTTCCAACCAGCAGTGCCAGGGTGCCACTTGTACAGGCAGCTCCAGCCTCCAGGGGAGGCTTCAGAGGACAGCATCAGGCAGCACCCACATAGGAGACCTGGACAGAAAAACGCCTAGCCAAGCCCTGCCCAGATCCCTGGCCTGGGCAATTGCGAGCACAGCAATTCAATGTGGAGCGGTTTTATGCTGCAATAGGTGGCCAAAGCGCTATGGAAGTATCAGGAGCCCCTCACTGGGGTGTCAGGAGAAGACGTTCAAGGAAGGCTTCCTGGAAGAATTCGTACCTCAGTTGGTACAGGATAAGGCGAGATGGAGAGAAAGCAGCCCAATCTGAAGACCCAGAGGTGAGAGAGGGTCCCATTCCCCTGGGGATGTGTGGTCTGTGGTGGGATTCGAGCCCTGGTGAGCTGGAAGCAGAGGATGCTCGGATAAGCTGTACTCTGAATCCCTCTGTGTTGACTGCAGCACTTGCTGAGGAAGCCGCCTGGCCATGCCCACACCCTGCAGAGGGAAGGACTGTGGAGGGCAGGACTCAAAGGCCTCGGGCAGCCACAGGGCGCATGCTTGTCTCTGACTCACCGCAACGATGTAGCACAACGATGTAGTGCTGTGGCAGCTGCTGGCAAGCCTCACACCCCATTCCCTCCAGAGGATTTTTTAAAATACACAAAGCTGGGAGCGAAGGGGCATTTAATTCCCCTATGAATGCATGATGAACGCAGCTGGAGCAGCCAGCCCCGCTGCAGCTGGGAAGATGCACTGCCTCGAGGTGCAGGCACTGTTCGCTGCCATGTGTGTGCACAGGTCCTGAGGGTGAAAGGTCCCTGGTATTTGGCTAGAGTGTTAGGCTCTGAAGAATAAGAAGTCCCCCACCTGGTGTAGAAGGTCTAGCCAGGCTCCAGACTGGTTTCACAGAGGTAATGCTTTTTTATTTGAAATCCACAAGAGCACGCTGCAATGTCACTGCAAGCTTGAACACTGCTTCTCAAACTTTCATGAGCACCCAAATCATCAGGGGGCACGACGCAGTGGGTCGCTTACTGAAATGAAGACTCTGCATCACAAGGTCTGGGATGGGGCCATGATTGTGTGTTTCTAACAGGTTGCTGGTGAGGCTGAAGCCACTGATCCATGGAGCACATTTTGAATAGCAAGAATGTGGAGGAGCTGTCCCAAGATGGGGCGTGATTTATTTGAACTCTCACAGTGGTTTGACAATGGACAGCTTGTCCACAACTAAAAAATAAAAATAAAATAAAATCACACTCATTATTCCTGGAATAAGCAATAAAATTGGAAATAAATCAAATGGGTGATTACTGAGATTGTATTATCAGAGGTATATATTAGTTTTTTTCTCTTTCTTTCTTTTTTCTTTTTCTTTTTCTTTTTTTTTTTTTTTTTTTTTTTTTGAGACAGGGTCTCTCACTTTGTCACCCAGGCTGGAGTGCAGTGGCATGGTCACAGCTCACTGCAGCCTTGACTTTCTGGGCTCAGATGATCCTCCCATCTTAGCCTCCCAAGTATATGGGACTACAAGCATGCACCAAAACACCCAGCTAATTTTTAGTACTTTTAGTAGAGATGAGTTCTTGCCATGTTGCCCAAGCTGGTCTCAAACTCCTAGGCTCAAGTGATTCGCCCATCTCAGCCTTTCAAAATGCTGAGATTACAGGAGTAAGCTATACCACCCCCCACCTGCCTATATATTCATTCTCTATAACTGTGTAACAAATAATAAATTTCCCTTCCTGTATAACAGACTTAACAGCTTAAAACAACACTCATTCATTATCTCATAATTCTATAGGTCAGAAGTCCAGGCAGGTTCAATGAGGTTTTCTGCTTAGAGTCTTACAAGGTCAATGTCAAGGGCTCCTATCTGGAGGCTTGGGGGGAAAAAATCTACCTCCAAACTCAATCTGATTTTTGAGCAAATTCAGTTCTTTGCAGTCCCCTGAAATCCTCATTTTCTTGCTGGCTGTCAGCCAGGTGTTGCTCATAGTAACAGGGACCTCCTGGGGCCTTCTCCATCTCAAAGCCAGAAACAGAAAATCCACCCTGGGGTCAAATCTAGCTCCTGCTCTGCTACCAGCAAGAGAAAACTCTGCTTTTAAAGAACTTGGCTGGGCATGGTGGCTCACACCTGTAATCCCAGCACTTTGGGAGGACGAGGCAGGTGGATCACCTGAGATCAGGACTTCGAGACCAATCCGGCCAACATGGTGAAACCCCGTCTTTACTAAAAATTAGCCAGGCACAGTGGAAGGCGCCTATAATCCTGGGAGGCTAAGGCAGGAGAATCGCTTGAACCTGGGAGGCAGAGGTTGCAGTGAGCTGAGATTGCTTTCCAGCCTTGGTGACAGAGTGAGACTCTGTCTCAAAAAATAAATAAATAATAACGAACTCATATTTAGCTTAGGCCCCACCCCAGATAATCTTCCAATATTTAGATCAGACAGTTAGTGACCTTAATTATATCTGAAAGTGCCTTTGCCATACAAGGTAACATGATTGTGCGAGTAACCCAGGTGGCTCTGTACTGGCTCCAGGGCCACCTTAGATTTCTGCCCTCCATAAGCGGGGAAATGGGTACTTAGGCAAAAACTGCCCGATGAGAATGCAACAACGATTAAACAGCTAAAGTGGGGGATCTTCAGTGACACAATCAAAAAAGAACCTGAGATCAATTTCGTACTCAACAGGATTTATGGAGAGAGGCCAACAAGTAGGGCCTCAACTTAGCAAACTGAACTAAAAGCCAAGTTTACTTTGCATTCTTTAGAATGCCTGGGGTGGGTCAGCAGTCTCTCCCATTAGAATGCCTGAGGTCGCCCAGGTGTCTGTATCATTAGTCGGCCTGGGGTCCTCCGGGACATTCCTAGAACACACTGGGCCATGCAAAACGACAACAACAACAACAACATTTTTAGAAACATTTATTTTACGTTCCCTGAAAACCCTTCATCTTAGCAGCAACTTCAATAAATTACTTAGTATTTTGCACCTCCAAGGCAAAATTTCATAAACAGGTAGCATTTCTGAGAAAAAGAACTGTTTATATTTAGCATTATTTTCTTTCTCTCATGCCAGTTTCCTGGAGGGCATCTCTCACACCAGTTTCCTAGAGGGTAAAGTTTACCTACAAAGCTAGAAGGGGCTCAACGCCAACATTGCCTGATCCACCCAGTGAGAACGTGAAGAGATGTGGATTTCCTCTCCTTCCCTTATTAATTGGTTGGTGACATTTTGAGCAAATTTGGTGCATAAAACTCTAATTCAAAAGAAAATGAGTTTTTACTTTACCAAAAGAGTAAATCTTTTTCTGAAATTTCTAGGAATTATCCTCAGCCTAAAACAGTGACATACAGTGTATATGGTTTCTGTTCATTGGGGTTTGAAATGCACACACATCATAGCACAGTGGATGAAATGACTGATCTTAAGTGTGCCGCTCAGTGAATCTGCCCATGTACACGCCCATGTGAGCACCGCTCAGCTTCCCCAGATTTCCTTGCTATGCATCCTAGTCTATAATTACCCCCAACCAGAGGCAAGGCAGCTATTTAGAAACTTTATTGAGGGTATGATTTATATCCAGTAAACTGTGTCCACTTCAAGTTTACAGTCCAGTGAGTTTGACTATGTGCACACTGGGGTCACAAACCAAGGTCCCACAATCAGGAGGAAGCACACTTTCATAACCCACAAGGGACACCTTGGCCGCCTCTGTCTCCCCTCCCACCTCCGTGGACCCCAGGGCACCACACATCTGTTTTTTAAATCACTGTAGATTAGTTTGGGTTGTTAAGTTTGTGTTTAAGAGAAATCATGAAGGACATACTCTTTTCCAGCTAGCCTCTCTCACTTGGCATAGTGATTTGGAGATTCCTTGATGCTGTAGTAAGTATAAAGAGTTCCCACCCTTTCATTGTTGAGTAGTATTTGATGTATGGATATACAACAGTGATTCTCCATTCACCTGTTGATAGACGTGGGATTTTTCCCAGTATGGGGCTACTGTGATTAAAGCTGGTATGAGCATTCACCCACAGGTCTTTATGTGAATGTATGTTTTATTTATTCTGGGAAATAATGTATTTCTGGGAATGTATGTTTTATTTATTCTGGGAAAATTCCCCAAAGTGGAAAAATTAGGTCATAGAAGAAGCATATGCTTAACTTTAAGAAATTGTCCAACAGTTTTCTCTTTTTTTTTTTTTTTGAGACAAAGTCTCACTCTGTCACCTAGGCTGGAATACAGTGGTGCAATCTCAGCTCACTGTAACCTCCACCTCCCAGATTCAAGCGATTCTCCTGCCTCAACCTCCCGAGTAGTTGGGACTACAGGCATGTGCCATCATGCCCAACTAATATTTTGTATTTTTAGCAGAGACGGTGTTTCACTGTGTTAGCCAGATGGTCTCCATCTCCTGACTTAGTGATCCACCCACCTCGGCCTCCCAAAGTGCTGGGATTACAGGCATGAGCCACCATGCCCAGCCCTGTCCAACAGTAAGTGTTTGCATCACTTACATTCCCACCAAGACCAATTTGGTATTGTCATTCTGTAATTTTAGCCATCCTAGTAGACGTGTAGTGATCTCTCATTGCAGTTTTATTTGCAATTCCCAGAAATTGATGATGTTGAACACCTTTTCATGGTTTTTTTTTTTCCATTTATATATCTTATATTTGTTGGTCATCTGCATATCTTCTTTGGTGAAGTATCTGTTCAAATAATTTGAACATGTATATATTGTAGTCTTGGTCCTTTTACTATTTTTGATATTATTTAATATTTATTTTATAATCATAAACTTAACTCTGCAATCCAGCTAGACCTGGAGGGGAATAAGGAAAATATGGAACCCAAAGAATGCATCAGCCGGGTACGGTGGCTCATGCCTAAAATCCCAGCACTTTGGGAGGCCAAGGCAGGTGGATCACGAGGTCAGGAGTTTGAGACCAGCCTGACTAATATGGTGAAACCCTGTCTCTATAAAATACACAAAAACTAGCCGGGTATGGTGGTGTACACCTGTAGTCCCAGCTACTCAGGAAGCTGAGGCAGGAGAATTGCTTGAACCCAGGAGGTGGAGGTTGCCGTGAGCCGAGATTGTGCCACTGCCCTCCAGCCCGGGCAATAGAGACTCCATCTCAAAAATAAAATAAAAGCATCAATAGCAAAAGATGATGATAGGATACTATGAGCAAATGGGGTGGAGGGGCGCTCTCCAGGCTACAGAAGGAGTAGTCTGGTGGTTAAAATAAAGCATGAGTCAAATGTATTAGACTGGTCCAGAGTCAGCAGTGGTGATCTTGCTGCTCTTCTTATTATGAAACCCAAAGGGCTCCATGGCCTCCACGATATTCATGCCTTCTTTCACCTTGCCAAAGACCATGATTGCCATCTAACCACTCAGTTTTGGCCGTGCAGATGAAAAACTAGAAACAGTTTGTGGTGGGTCCAGCATTTGCCATGGAAAGATGCAGGACCTGGGTGCTTCAGGATGAAGTTTTCATCATCAAATTTCTCTCCATGAATGGATTTGCTACTAGTGCCATTATGGCCTCTGAAGTCACCATCCTGACACAGAAACACTGGAATAATTCGGTGAAAGCAGGACTCCTTATAACCAAATATTTTCTCTCTAATGCTCAGAGTGCAGTTTTCTGCTATTTTGGGAACTTTGTCTGCAAACAACTCGAAGGAGACACAACCCAAGGGCTCACCATTATTGGTGATGTCCATCATGGCTGGTGGCAGGGGGCCCTGAGTAGTAGCAGCATCTGCAAAAAAAGCCTGTCCTTTTGCAATTTTGAGGTTTTTATTCTTTTTCTTTCCTGGAGACATGGTCTCTCTCTGTTGGCCGAGCTGAAATAAAATGGCATGATTATAGCTCATGCAACCTTGAGCTCCTGGGTTTGAGTGATCCTCCTACCTTAGGATCCTGAGTAGTTGAGACTACAGGCATGCACTACCGCTCCTGACTACTTTTTAAATTTTTCTGTAGAGATGGATTCTCGCTATGTTGCCTAGGTTGGTCTTAAATCCCTGGGCTTAAGTGATTTTTCCACCTTGGTTTCCCAGAGTACTGGGATTACAGATGTGAGTCACTATACTTGGCCTTAATATTGAGATTTAAGCACAACTTATGTACTTAAATCTTAATATACATCCCAAAGCAATCCCAAGCAAAAAGAACAAAGCTGGAGCCATCATATTATCTGACTTCAAATTATACTATAAGGCTATAGTAACCAAAACAGCATGGAACTGGCATAAACACATAAATCAATGGAGCAGATTAGAGAACCCAGAAATAAAAGCATATATTTATAGCCAACTGATCTTTGATAAAGTCAACAAGAACATACACTGGGGAAAGGACATTCTTTTAAGTAAATTGGGCTGGAAAAACTGAATTGTAATTTGTGATTACAAGCTATTCATCAGATATAGGTATTACTAGTATTTCCTCCTATTCTGCGACTTGCCTTCATTTCTTAATGGTGCCTTTGAAGAGCAAAAGCTGTACATTTTGATAAGTCCAGTCTATCAATTTTTTATGTGTGCTTTTTGTACCTTATGTAAAAAGCATCTGCCACTCAAGGTGGCAAGGATTTTCTCCTTGGTTTTCTTCTAGGAGTTTTACGTGTACAGTCATTTCAAGTGAATTTTGTATACAGAGCAAGTTGATGTCCATTTTTTCCTTATGCATACACTCAGTTGTTGAAAAAACATTCTTTCTCCATTGATTTGAGTGGGTATCTTTGTTGAAAATTGATTATCTATGGCTATCTTTGCTCGTCTATGACTACCCCTCTTATGTTCCAGGGCTCTATGTATCTATCCTTTCAGTATTACCATGCTACTTCATTACAGCAGTTTTGCAGGAAGTCTTAAAATCAAGTGGTGTCTGCCCCCCAACTTTTTAAAAGTCTTTGACTAATGTTGATCCTCTACATTTTCAAGTAAATTTTAGAATTAGTTTCTCAACTTCTACACAAAATTCTTTGCTAAAATTTTGACTAGGATTGCATTGAATCCATAGATCAATTTGAGAACTGATGAAGTGGATTTTACATGAGGAATGCAAGAATGGTTTAACATACATAAAGCAATAGATGTGATACATCACTTAACAGAATTGAGAACAAAAATTATATGATCATCTCAACAGATGCAGAAAAAGCATTTTATAAAATTCAGCATCCCTTACATGATAAATTGACAACCTTAACAGACTAGGCACAGAAGGAACACACCTCAAAATAAAAAAAGCCCATATTCATCAGATCCACAGCCAGCACTATACTAAATAGGGAAAAGTCTAAAGCATTTCCTGTAAGGACTGAAACCAAGGAAGGATGCCCACTTTTTCTATCCATATTCAGCATAGTACTGGAGGTCCAAGCTAAAGCAATCAGGCAAAAGAAAAAAAAAAAGGCAACCAAACGGGAAAGGAATAAGCCAAACTATCCCTGTTCACTGATGATGCACTCTTACATCTAGAAAACCCTAAAGATTCCATAAAAAACTCTTCAACTAGATAAATAAATTCAGAAAAAGTTTAGGATATAAAATCAATCTACTAAAATTAGTAGCGTTTATACATCAATAATGATCTAGCTGAAACCAAATCAAGAAGGCAATCCCATCCACAATACCTATCAAAAAAACAAAACATCTAGGAATTTTAACCAAGATGATGAAAGACCTCAACCAAGAAAGCTACAAAACACTGATGAAAGAAATTGTAGATAACACAAATGGAAAAACATTCCATGCTAATTGATCAGAATTAATATTATTAAAGTGTTCATACTGCCAAAAACAAACTACAAATTTAATGCAATCCCTACCAAAATGCCAACATCATTTTTCACAGATTTAGAAAAAAAATAGTCTTAAAATTCATATGGAACTAAAAAAGAGCCCAAATAGCCAAAGCAATCCCAAGCAAAAAGAACAAAGCTGGAGCCATCATATTATCTGACTTCAAATTATACTATAAGGCTATAGTAACCAAAACAGCATGGAACTGGTATAAACACATAAATCAATGGAGCAAAGTAGAGAACCCAAAAATAAAAGCACATATTTATAGCCAACGAATCTTTGATAAAGTCAACAAGAACATACACTGGGGAAAGAACACTCTTTTCAGTAAATTGTGCTGGAAAAACTGAATTACCATTTGCAGAAGAATGAAACTAGACCCTACCCTCTCACCATATAAAAAAGTCAACTCAAGATGAATTAAATGTAAGATCTGAAACTATAAAAATACTAAAAGAAAACCCATGGAAAACTTCTCAACATTGGTCTAGGCAAAAAATTCATCACCAAGACCTCAAAAGCACAGGCAACAAAAACAAAAACAGACAAATGGGATTTAATTAAACTAAAAAGCTTCTGCACAGCAAAAGAAATTATCAGCTGAGTGAACAAACGACTAGCAAAATGGAAGAAAATATTTGCAAACTATGCATCTGACAGGGACTGACAATCAGAATTTATAAGAAACTCAAACAACTCAACAACCACAAAAAACAGGTAATCCCATTAAAAAGTGGGCAAAGAGCATGAGTGCACATTTTTCAAAAGAAGACATACAAATGGCCAACAAACATAATAAAGAATGCTCAAAATCATTAATCATCAGAGAAACACAAATTAAAAACACAATGAGACATCATTTCATACCGGACAGAATAGCTATTAATAAAAAGACAAGGGGCTGGGCACGGTGGCTCAAGCCTGTAATCCCAGCACTTTGGGAGGCCGAGGCAGGTGGATCATGAGGTCAAGAGACCAAGACCATCCTGGTCAACATGGTGAAATGCCCTCTCTACTAAAAATACAAAAAATTAGCTGGGCATAGTGGCACGTGCCTGTAGTCCTAGCTACTCAGGAGGCTGAGACATGAGAATTGCCTGAACCCAGGAGGCGGATGTTGTGGTGAGCCACGATCGTGCCATTGCACTCCAGCCTGGGTAACAAGAGCGAAACTCCATCTCAAAAAAAAAAAGAAATTAAAAAAAAAAAGACAAAAAAATAACAGATGTTAGTAAAGACGCAGAAAAAAGGGAATTTATTTAATATCAGTGGGAAGGTGAATTAGTATGTGCTCTGTGGAAAATAGTATGGAAATTTCTCAAAGAATGAAAAATAGAACTACCATTCAATCCAGTAATCCCACTACTGGGATCTACTCAAAGGAAAAGAAATCATTATATCAGAAATATGCCTGCAGTCATGTTTCTCTCAGCACTGTTCACAAAAGCAAAGATGTGGAATCAACCTCAGTGTCCATCAGTAGATGACCAGATAAAGAAAACTGTCATATATATAGTCATATATATGTATATATAGATATATGTCATATATAGTACAGTTATATATATATATATATATATATATGTATATATATATATATATGTATATATATGCAGCCTTGAGCTCCTGGGTTTGAGTGATCCTCCTACCTTAGCTTCCTGAGTAGATGAGACTATAGGCATACACCACCACTCCTGACTACATTTTAAATTTTTCTGTAGAGATGAGGTCTTGCTATAATTACATATATATAATTATAGGTATTTTATATATATATAATTGAATACTATTCAGCCATAAAATAATGAAATCATATCTTTTCCAGCAACATTGATGGAGATGGAGGCCATTACCTTAAATAAAATAAGTCAGACACAGACAAGTATCACATGCTCTCACTTACAAGTGAGAGCTAAATAATGTGTATACATGGACACAGAATGTGGAATGATAGACAACAAACACTTAGAAGGGTGAGGGGATGGATGCTAAAAAATTATTTAATGGGTATAATGTATGTTATTTAGATGACTAAAAGCCTTGACTTCACCACTTCACAATCTATGTATATAATAAAATTACACTTGTACACCATAAATTTATTTTTAAAAGTTAATAAAGAGAACTGATAGCACTAATGAGTCTTTTTATCCAATTGAGGTATACATATATATCTATTGACTTTTGTATCCTATGGATTTATACTAGTGCTTCTATAGGTTTCTTGAGGTTTTCTATGTAAAAAATCAACCTGGGTACAGTGGCTCACGCCTGTAATCTCAGCATTTTGGGAGGCCGAGGCAGGTGAATCACGAGGTCAGGAGTTCAAGACCAGCCTGACCAACATGGTGAAACCCCATCTCTACTAAAAATACAAAAATTAGCTGGGTATGGTGGTGTGCTCCTGTAATCCCAGCTACTTGGGAGGCTGAGGCAGGAGAATTGCTTGAACCAGGACCCAGAAGGCAGAGACTGTAGTGAGCCGAAGTTGCGCCACTGCACTTGAGCCTGGGCTACAGAGAAAGACTCCATCAATAAAAAAACAAATCATGTCATTTTCAAATAGAGACTTTTATTTCTTTCCCATCAATATTTATGCCTTTACATGTTTTTCTTGTTTCATTGCCATAGCTAGGTTCTCAGTACAATTAACTAGAAGTAATGAGAGAAAGAGGGTGAGAGGGGGTGGGGGGGTAGAGAGAGAGAGACAGAGAAAGAGAATGCATGCACTGAATTTCTTATCTTGCTCATCCTAGGGAGAAAATACTCAATATTTCAACAGCAAGTCTTGTATTATGTTAGCCCCAGGTTTTTCACAGATGCCCTTTATCAGGTAAAAGAAGTCCCTTTCTCTGCTTAGTTTGTTGGAAAAATAAACAATTCCACAATCATAGTAAGAGACTCAACACTTCTCTTTCATCAGCTTATTGATCAATTATAAAAATGTCAGTAAACCGTAGAGGAAGTGAACATTATCATCAGTTACCTTTACCTAATCACTATTTCTTTATCATTACACATTCTTTTCAAGTACACATAGAAAATTCACTAAGATAAACTATATGCTGGGCCATAATACAAGTCCCAAGAGTTTAAAAAATATTTGAAATAGCACAAAGTAGGTTCTCTGACCACAGCAGAACTAAATTAGAAACAATAACAGATCTAGGAAACCCCCCAATGTTTGGAAATTAACCTGTACACTTCCAAATAATGCATGTTTCAAAAAAAAATCCCAAATAATTTTTAAAATATTTCTAATTGGCTGATA